AGGAATCTACACGAAGGCAGACCACAATTGAAGCTCCGCGAAGACCCTAGTCGGTACGTACACAATTATTCGTCTCTATCCCTCGATAAAGCTCCGATCGAAGCCTTGTCGCTTGGTCCTAAGTTCAGCTGCCTTCGCCAGAAACTCGGCCAGCTAGAATTAGAAACACAGTTCGAGAACTTCATAGATCAAACACATGGCAATCAGCCGGTTTCGGCAGGAAGCGTTCAACACCTCAAGTCCACGCTAGTTATCTTCTCTTATCAGCACCTGAACAGTGGCCAGAAATGTCGAGGCTTACTGACGAAGGCGCATATAGGGAAATAAAGGAAACTCCGGCGGAACAAATGTATCCTATTAACGAGGCCAGATAAGAGAACTGGTGTTGTTTTGATGGACAGGGACGACTACATTGTAAAAATACAGCCAATCCCTTCGGATCAGGAAAAGTTCCAAAAGGCAGAAATAGAAAAGAATTGGAGAGATGAGGGTAAAGCACAGATGACTGACTGTTTGAAAAGATTTCAAGCTAATGGGTTCATGAGTGAACATGACTTAGAGCATCTCTGACCCAGCGGCACACATATACCTCAGTTGTATGGCTTGACAAAGATCAGCAAAGATGACTCACCGGTTCGTCCAATCGTCCATATGAGGAACTCGCCGTACCATGCGATAGCGAAATGGCTAGCGTAGAAACTTAAGCCCGTACAATACCAGCTAACACCACATAGCCATCGGTATACCTTTGAATTTGTTAACAGTATGAAACATCTCGACCTAAACGGAATGGTTATGTTTTTGTTAGACGTCTCGACTCTTTTTACAAACACACCGGTCTCAGAAACCGTCAACTACCTCTGCAATCCATTGTCTCCAATCGCCATGATATAGGAATGCCGTGGATGCTCTTAAAGAACTGGTACTAAGGTATACCTTAAACGTACATGTTCTATTTGACAAAAATCTGTATAAACGAATGGACGTATTAGCTATGGCCTCGTCCCTTTGTCCGCTTTTGGCGAATATATTCATGGGAAAGCTAGAAGCATTCGAACTTCGTCGCCAGATCGATGAACTGAGATATTATGGGCGCTACGTGGATGATATTTTCGCGATTGCACCTGAGAAAAACGACGTTTCAGTCCTACTGGACGATATCAATCGGACGTTTCCATCAATTAAATCCACGCTGGGAGAGAAACAGTCTGGATCGCTCCCCTTTCTGGGGATTTACAGTTGACGATAAATTACTACTGACGGGTGTCTTATGGGGTTATGGAATGCCCGCTTGATAATTTGTGCAGTTATCATGCGATTAGCGATCGCAATGTACGTACGTTCTTTTTTATCCGGCGAATATTAAACTTATGTTGTTGAGGTCGAGGTTGTTGAAACTGAATCAGTTTAAGCATGAATAAAGAGACTGTCCTTGTGCGCTTACATTGGCAAACTTCCAGGATTTTATGGAATTGGGAAACAGGAGGATACTTACGCACATGAATGTCT